ATCTGTGCGGATCAGGAGAGGATGGGACACTGCTCCTTTGGATTCCTTGTTCTTGCAGTTATTTACTTGAATGTGATTTGTTTAGAGAGCTTCCTCCACCTGCACCTGCTCTTGGGAGCACTCAGCATGGGAACAGGGAGTTGAGTCAATCCTGCAAGTGTTATGGTCAAAGAAAACCTGAATATTCTTGGGGGTAGAACAGGAGAGAAGGATTTGGGGAAAACATTCAGATAGATAGTAAAGTCTTTAAATTGCAGTGAGGCACTGTGTCCTTGAAAGTCCTGCTTCCTGTGCAGATTATGGTGACTTAGACCTGTCATGAAACCTAGAGGTGGAAAAAGCAGTCAGCCTCTGGCTACTTATCTTCTGAAAACCCCCAAAAGTTGGGGGAGAAGCAAGGAGCTCAGTAGCTCTGTAAATGACTGTATAATTCTGTTGTAGGAAGGTGGGAGAGAATAGACTTGTGTCTAGAACTTGAAATTTGACTGCATCTTTCATAAATTGTCACGTTGTTTTCAAATGTGGTAATACTTGGAGACCTTGGGTAGAATCAAGGTGGACTGGAAAACTCAGCTATATGAGGTGCTTGCTCAGGAAAGTTCTGAGGAAAAGACATGTGGAACTGTGGATATAAAGGGTTGTGCCCATGTGTGCACCCTTTGTCTGTTTGCTCTATCCAGGCTTCTAATTCTGCCGTATCTACTTCTGCTGCTATTTGTTAGATATTGTTCTATTTTTTTTTTTTCCTCCTCAGGAAAGAATATTTTTTAATATGATAGATAAATTGGGGAGGCTCTGTCTTGTAGCAGCTACTATCTTCTCTTTTCTTGCTGACCTCATAAATTTCATTCCCTGCTTCAAGCTGGCTTTTGCTCTTGCTGTTTGGAGCATGAGATTAAGTGTTCAGAATAACATGAAGAGGCAAAACATGAGTGTGGCTTGCTTCTTACCCGATATTAAAAAAAAATAACCAGACAACAGCAAATCAGCTCCAGGAGTGTTTGTAGAGGATGATGCCACCTGTCTCTCTTGGCTACAGCAGTTGCTATAATGAGATGGGATGTGGGGCCACTTCAGGGCTTGCTTTTGCAGAGGTAATGGGGGCATGAATGTGAGTTTGGAGGTTGGAGCTGGAAGTTCCTCTCAGTTCTCTTGCCAGCAACTGGAGCCAGGAAAGTATTATCAGGTGCCACGCCTGGGCACAGCAAGGCAGTCCTGCTGGGATTTGCTACAACTGTATAGGAGAGAAAGGCTTGTTGGAAGCTCCTCTCCATTACCAAGTTGATTTTGGTATAAATCCTGGCTGTACTGCTTTGGCTAGATCTAGAGATGCATTGAGAAGGACAAACTAAAATTCTTTTTGGTTGTGTTTTGCTTACAGTGCTGTAACTTGTAAGCACTCTGTGCTGAGACAGGCAGTTTCAGAATTACATCCTTATTTCAGAGCTGTGGTACACCATGACTCACCAGCCCTTCTGTGTGATGCCTTCAAATCCATCACGTGGGCTGTGGAGAGGAAGTGAAAAAACCATTGCAGGGTGGGGGAACTGTTCAGTAACAGAAGGGGACACTTTCTTCCAAGTCTGCTGGCATCAGCTTTCCCATAGCAAGCCATGTAGACACTTCTCCCATTTTTAACACATGGGGAATATTCATCAGTTTGGGTTTTTAATGGTTGCTCTCAGATGCTGTGTTTTTTGCTGCTGATCTCCTCTCCAGACTTGTCTGTTTAGCACAAAATGTGTTAGTCCTCACATTCCCAGCCTGGTTTGTCCTTGCTGGAGCTTCCCAGCTGGAGAAGGTGTAAATGGAGCTCCCAGCAAGGCAGGCGAGGAGATGACTAAGGCAGGGTTGGCTATGCAGGACACAGTGCTTGTAAGAACTTTCCCTGTTGGTCCTAGCCAGAAGAAACCTCACTGGCTAAGCAGTTGCTGGGTCCCATTCCTGGAGCCCTACTTGCTGTTGGGCTGATGCTGCTCAGAACACTAGTGCAGGATCAGAATGGTTGAAGAAAGTGTGCCCAGTATGTCCACTCTACTGTCATGCCTCTGGGAGGGGAACTGATGGAGTGGGGCTCTAGTGTCCCAGCTCCTTCAGCCCTGCCTGTTACCCTGTGAGTACACAGGGTCTGGGCTCTTAATGAGAGAGGTGATCAATGGGCAGAACGGTTTATTTTCTGTCTTTTTTTTTTCTTGTTGTTGCTACAGTATCACTTGGACTGTCAACTTTTTTAACCTTTTTTTTTCCCCCTGCAGTGGCTCTCTACACGTCCATTTTTGGAGTATTGCAACTGCTGTGCTTGCTGACAGCGCCTGTGATCGGGTACATCATGGACTGGCGGCTGAAAGACTGCGATGATGGCTCAGAAGAGCATGAGGAGAGCAACGCTGATCCGTGCGTAGTGTGCACCACACGGGACGTGCAGCCGCGTAGCAGGCCTCCTCTGCTCTGCGTTGCGTGTTTTGTGATGAAAGACTGAAAGAACATTGGCTCTTCAGTATAGGAAAAAAAAGCCTGAAGGAAGACTTGATAATTGCAGAGGAAAAGACCAAACTATCTTCCATGTCCACTAAGATCAGTCAAGAAGAGTAAATTTAAATAGTAGTAGGGGAGGCTCAGGATTCCCTTCTAGCCTAACAGTAAGAGTAACAGCACTGAAATAATTGCCCAAATGTTCCTCAGCTTCCAGTGATGGAGATCCCATCCTCCTTAGGGGGACGTCCCTCTAGCCAAACTGGTTTAGGTAGAGATGATGTGATATGTGGAGAATCTTGCTGTGAGTTCCAGTAGCTGCTGAAAGTGCTTTTTGTAATATAGGTTTTGCTATCCTTCCAGAAGTGACAAAAAAAAGAAAAAACGTGATCGCCAGATCCAGAAAATCACCAATGCCACCAATGCCTTTGCATTCACAAACGTCCTGTTGGTTGGATTTGGAATCACCTGTCTCATTCCTAATCTACCGTTGCAGGTGAATAAGTCAAACGGGTGGGTGTGCTGGAGGGGCTGGCAGTGTGGGTCCTGACAAAATGACAGGCAGAGCAGTGCCAGGAGGTCCTGCAAGCCAGCAGAACCAGCAAGTGGCAGGAGGGCTTTCTGGCACTGCTGGGAGACTTCTGAACTGCTTTGGGAGCCCCAGTCTGAGAGCTGAAACAAGGTAATACTATGCAGTTTGCATTTCTTGAGAAAACCTAACGAGCCAGCTACAGTTAAAATGTCAGAGCTGATCCACAGTTTATTCAAACTTTGAAGTTTCTGCAGCTGAGGTCTGTAACAACAAACGCTTTCCTATTGAGGTCCTCTCAGCAGAGCCTGTGCATTTAACCTGGACCCAATTTAAGCTGCTGACAGTCAGAAAAGTTGTTGTAAGAAGCACGGCACTGCTATATACGGGAGGTTATTTCTGCACCAAATGGTACCCGTGGGATTATAAACCTGTTAAAATATTTATTTTGCGGCACCACCTGTTTCTGGCAGAGGAGTCTAGTGATTTTACGCTGTACTTAAACATACCTTGATGACGTAGGCAAACAGATACAGTTTGTTCATACTTGCATATTGTCCACAATAACTTGTGGAAAATTAACTAAATTGGCCACAAGCGCAATGAAAAAAGCATTGTGACCCTGGCCACAGGTTGCTGGGCACGTGTCCTTGCAGCAGAGCCATCTACAAGTGAGACAGGTCTTGTGTGTGGTTAACCTCAGGGGGCACTACACGTCAGCCTTTGCAAAGTAAGGAAAACAAGTGCTTTTAGAGATGAATACAAATTTCTTCCCTTGTGCTGGTCTTTCAGGTTTTGGTTCTGGGTTCCTCAAGTCCACCTTTGTGCTAGAAAAGAGAACAGTTTTTAGGAATCGTTTTATGTTGGGGTCTGGCACACCTGGTATCTAGGACGTGACATTTTTGTGCTTCTCTTTCCAGATTCTTTCCTTCATTTTGCACACAATCGTGAGAGGATTCATCCACTCAGCTGTGGGAGGCCTCTATGCAGCTGTGTAAGTCTCTGCTTACCTATAAAATGCAGCTGGCCAGATAAACTGGTTTGGGATGATAAGCTGCCCAGGTGAGAGGGAGATAAGGAAGTGAAGTCTTCGTGGTCAGAGAGGAAAAATGATGCAACTTGTTTCCTCAGTTACCACTGGATATAGTAGTAGCTGGACTGAATTCCCAGGGGAGGCTTTCCTTGTTTAGAAACAGCTAGCCCCTTTGGCACAGCTACTGCAGGGAGAGAGGCACAGCTATATATGGGCCCCAGGTGAGACTATGCTATTGACACTAAGGTTAGAGAGAAAACTCAAGGTTTTTTTGTCTTATAATGAGTAGCTATGTCTATGTGTCCAGGTGAAACATTAACATAATTGAATACATTGCTACTGGTCTGCTCTGAAATTACAGTGGTAAAGCATTGCTCAAGACACCATTAGTGATGCCTACTCCCTCTCCCAGGATAGATCATAATCCATCCTGTTTTCAACTTATCAAAATCATCACTAGATGAATCTAAATACCCTCTTCCTTATTAAGCAAAGTTTTTGGTTTTGAAAGCGGATCTACCGCTCTGTCCTGAGCTGTTGCACAGAGGAACAGAAAGAAGCTGATGTCTTTCAGAGAATTGCAGAATCGTTGAGGTGGGAAGAGACCTCTTGAGACCATCCAGTCCAACCCTCATGCTCAAGAAGGGTCAGCTAGAGCAGGTTGCCCAGGACTGCATCCAGTTAGGTTTTGAGTATCTCCATGGATGGAGACTCCACAACTCTACAGACTCCTTCTGCCAAAGATTTTGGTCCCAGTGTCCAGGGAATCCAGACTAGAAAACCTATCTAAGACTCTGTTTCAAAAATGTGTACATGTTTGGTTCCCCAGCAGCTGGAAGCAAAAGACTTTTCATAGATTTCATAGATTTTTCTAGGTTGGAAAAGACCTTAGAGATCATCCAGTCCAACCATCCCTAATCCCCGTTAAACCATATCCCCAAGTAGTTCATCCACCCTATTCTTAAACACGCCCAGGGATGGGGACTCAACCACCTCCCTGGGCAGCCTATTCCAGTGGCTGACAACCCTTTCAGAGAAGAAATACTTTCTAACATCCAACCTGAATCTCCCCTGACTAAGCTTATCCCCATTTCCTCTTAATTTTGTCTTAAAGTAAATGCCTGTTGCTGTACATATCAGCTTGCTTGTAAGCTAATCCTATTTGACCATTGCAACGCTTTGGAACTTCCTGGAGTGAGGTATTTTTGCTTTGAGTGTGACTTCTTTGAATATTGGGAGGTTTTGATCCACTTCTTTCTCTTTCCAGGACTGAGCAGTGTTTAAAAAAGGTCAGGTTAAACTAAGCTTGGAAAGAAAGATGTTAGACTGTTCCTGAAATGTATTTCTCTGTTAGCAGTATCTGATATTCAGCGCTTTCCAATCAACAGTATTGTTTAGTTTGACGTAGGATCAGATCAGACTTGTCCTCTAAAAATGAAAACACATACTAACCTGTTGTGCAGGTTTCGCTCACTTCTAAGGGGAGCAAGTTGTTATGACCAGATGACAGCATTTGCTGCTGAGCAATCATTTTCACCTGGATAAAGAGGCCCTGCTTTCAACTTGTAGATATCAACACTCTTCTCCCTTTGTAGTAGGATTAGTAGTTGTATAAGCACTTCCACCTGCCTCCAGTACAGCTGCAAAACAAAAACGAGTGCTGGACCTGATACTTCTTAAGTTTGAGAGCTCAGGATGAGAA